GCTTCTATAGACCGCAGACAGAGATCTGACTTGTGTGCACTACTGGCACATGTTCCCTCGCTTACGCTGCTAGCAGCAGGCCTCGGGGTCTATAAAAAGCTTCCGACGCCAGCCATGATGTGTGCCCTTGGCCGGCCTTGGCCTACAGCAGTGTGTACGTCTCGTTGTCTCTGTTGTGGGAATGCGTCTGTGTGGGAATAAGCTCCAAATATCCGCCAAATATCGGTAGGTGTGTGATGCAGACGGACCGCGGATTGGCCGCTGGCGTCGTCACTCGCTTGTGCTGCCGGCCGACAGCAGGCAACGGGCTGTAAGGGTCACACCCAACGGATCCTACGATGTGTGCCTTTGGCTGCCCTTGGCCTACAGCAGTCCGTATGCTGCTGTGCTGGTTGTCTCGTATGTTGTCTGCGTGGTGTGCGTGGTGCTGCTGTGCAAGAGGATTTCAGGGATTCTCCAGAGAGCTCAAACAGCGGACTAACTTTTTAACTCTTTCTCGCTGTGTGTTTCTCGAGTTACATGTCGCCATTAATTTTTGCTCGGATAAGTTCTACGACACACATTCTCGTGTATGTCGCATCCCACCACGTGTGAGAGAGGAGGGAAATTTATGTAGTCTACATTGCAAACGTCATCTGCTTGGTCATCCCAGCGACCTACCAACATTCATTTTTATCATCTTGGTTGTTGTGGTAGTTGTTCAGCGGTCACGCGCCTCCAACCAAAAAGCGGGAAGATATTTCCCCATCCATGTCACGGCGCCCCAAGCCACCAACAACTTTTGTCAACCAACACAGTACAAGACACCTCAGACCTGCGTGCCGCCCAAAACCGCATCAAAAAGCCGATGTCCTGAAACCGACGTTCGAGGACATCGACATCCCCATCCCCACCGACACAGCACGTGAGTTTAGCTGCCAGGCTGGACGGCCGTTAACACCAACGGACAGAAAGAGGCGCTGCCGTGAATCTCCCTGCTGCAGTCAGCAGACGGATCGGTGTTGTACTATTTGTTGCAAGCTGTTTTCTACGAGCGGAACCCTTCCCAGTGAGCGAGCTCTTCGTTTCATTGCCAACCAGGCGGGTCGTGTTCCCGACGACGCTCTTTGGCGGCCAGCCCTCTCTTTGTCGGTGTATCTGTTCTCTCGTAAGAAATGGTTGTTGTTGTTGTTGTTGTTAGTTGTTGTCTTCACATTAAAAACCGTTCCGATCTCTCTCTACCGAGTGCGCGTACCAGCGGGAACCTACGGGACTGGTCATGTCCATTATATTCTGTTTTCGTGGTACGTATGCATACTCTCCAGCTCATACTCTCTTACTCTCGTGGAAGCAGACGCAATCAACCGATTCAATGCGTTTGTACTAATTGGGCTACATACTGCCTTTGCGAGGGCAGCACGACTACGTCGTGAGGCAGGGCCCTGGGGTGGAACCGTCCTGGAATGCTTGCCCGGAGTGTTGGTCTGATTTGGGTGAGTTGGTGAGTTGGTGCGTGCTCTCTTCTTTGAGTGAGAGAGGCTTCAAATTCTTGCCGTCCCCGTCGTCGTAGTATGTACTGTACCTGCAGCAGTGGTTTGGGTTGAGACATTTCGGTGAGGCCGAGCTGTTGCTTTTGTGCTGGCCGCACCCGGGCGATGTGGCCCGGGCGAGGGGCGGGTGTGTAGCTCAGCTCAACAACCCCACCAAGACCTTTTTTGGTGTGCAACACGCGAGAGGTTAGCTTGGTGCTCCTTCTCACAACTGATACTGCTGTAAATACCGCCGCTGTGCACGTCACGTGAGATAACCCCCCCCCCCCCCCCTTGGCACCTAATACCAAAGCTCGATCGACTACATACCGTGTACGATGCAAGACAACACCCCC